GGGGTGCCTGGGTGGCTCAATCAGTTAAGCATCAGACTCGTGATGTTGGCTCTGGTCATGATCTCAGGGTCTTGAGATCGAGCCCCTCATCAGGCTCTGTGCTGAGTGTGGAGCCTGCTAGGGATTCTCTCTCTCCCTCTGCCTCCCCACCCTGTCTCAAAAAAAAAAAAAAAAAAGGGAAGAAGAAGAAGAAAATATACTTGAGCTAGTATTAATGATCATATTAAAAAGAGATAACCATCATATAAAGAGTTTAGAGAAATTTTAAGTACTAGTGCTAGGGAATTAAGCGCATACTTAGAAGGTAAGTTTATTAAATTTGTAATTCAATTTCCAACTCTGACACTTACCAGCTACATGGCCTTAGGCAAGTCACCTAAGCATAAGTTCTGCTTATATCCTTAGACAAGTTACTAAATCTCTCTGTGCTTCACTTCATCATCTATATAATGGGGATAATACCCATTTATCTTGTACAACTGAGAGAATTAGAGATGATTTGTGTAATACCTACCACAATTACAGGTACAAAGTACATAAATATTATTTTTATGGCATAATATATAAAATTTTATCTACATTTATAACTCAAGGAAAGGCAGATTATACAAGTTAAGTCAAACTGAAGTAAGAGTATTTAAACTGGCCCTAGGGTTTTAAGATCATAAAAGTTAATAAACAACATTATTATAACCTCGACAGATTATACTTCACAGGGAGATCACAGAATTTATAACCTTTTACATTATTACAATCTCCCAGTATAATGTAACAGGGTTAACTATATTACTTAATTTACTATGAGGTGAAAATGAATTTTAAAATATATTAAACAACTGAATTTTAAACATAAGTACTTACATGCAGTACACAAATATACAACAGCTATAAATCATTGGGAGTTCATCCAATAGCTATAAGAAACAAAGAAAGATAAGAGGACTTAAATATTGTAGAGGTGCAATTATTATACAAATCAAAATAAAACATCAGAATGATTATGACAGTCACCTCTTATTATCTAATACCTTTTACTAATTCTTTCATATATTTAACATCTAATTACTCTGAGTGTTGGGGAAGGTCATTGAAAGGACGTGACCCTCAATTGACCTGTGAGCTGGACCCAGGCGATTGGAGGCTCCTCACCCGCTATCCTTGGAAGAGGAGTTCTGCTTGTCTTTCTTGTTCCCAGAGGCTGTTCCAAGGACAGTCTTGAGAGTGATGTGGTGTTGAAAACACCTGTACGGTATACTTGACTAAACCAAATTAAGGCCTCTTTACAAACTTTTAAGATTTGGTGGGCAGGGGCTCCTGGGTGGCTCAGTCGGTTAAGTGGCTGCCTTCCGCTCGGGTCATGATCCCAGGGTCCTGGGATTGAGCCCCGCATTGGGCTCCCTGCTTAGCGGAGAGCCTGCTTCTCCCTCTCCCACTGCCTGCGTCTCTGCCTACCTGTACTCTCGCTCTATCTCTCTGTCAAATAAATAAATAAATAAAATCTTAAAAAAAAGATTTGGTGGGTAGGTGGGGGACCCATTGCTGCCACCCAAGATAAGCCTTGTATATAGGTACTCTCTGCTTATTAAAACTGCCACCTACCAACCAGGAGTGGCCTGCCTCTTTCTTTCACCTTTCCCCGCCCTCTGCTTATAGGGGTTGGTTTACTGTCATTGAACAAACAAGCTTGTCCATCTATCTATCCTAATGTACACACCTAAGCAGGACGCCTGACTCACTGGACCACTCAGATCATTCAGTACCACAAACTATGATATCATACCTCCAGGCAAGAATGATGTCTACCATCTATTGGTCTGTGGGTCCTATCAATATTCTTTTGCATTTTCCCTTTTCCTAGAACACTTAAGATGGATAAAATATCTGCTAATATATATAAGAAGGGATATTAATGGCTGGGAAAGTCATTTAGTTAATCTAAGTAACATGTTTCTGAAAAATATTGTTATTAGCAATAATAATAATAGCTATATGTATTAAATTACAAGCTAGACACTAGCTAAATGTTGCAGATAGGTTATTTCTAATCTTTAAGCCAATCCTATAGAATTTACTTATTCACTAGATATGCATTTAATTAATTATTTAATAATATATCTACTATGTACCAGGCAATGTGTTAGTTGCTGAGGATATAATGAAAACAAGATGCAGTCAATGCCCTCATAGTCCAGTGAGGGAGGGAAATGAAAAACATGTGATTAAAAATAAAGATTCCAAAAGAAGGGGGACACAGAAGCCAGAGAAGGTGGTGGCAGGAAATGTAATGGGTTGGTAGAGAAATACATTCTAGGAAGAAGGAAGAGAGTTTACGCAAGTAATATATTCTGATAAATTACTGGAATAATGAAATAGCAGCGTATGTGCAGGGTCTTATGGTTAAATGTCTTGCATTCATTATCTCATTTAAGTTTAACAACAATTCTAAGGTAGGTCCTATTATCTCCATCCCAAGATGAGAACTCTGAGGTTTAGACAATTTAAGTAATTTGTTCAAGATCACAGAGCTATTAAGTAATGGAGCCAGATTTTAAACTGACTCTGGAGCATACCTCTACATTATGTTGCCTCCAAAACCCTTCACTTGAATCACCTTCACATGTTCAAAAAAGTTGGCATGGTACCACAATATACTGCAGATAAATCTGCCACAAGGTTTATGATATACAGAAGATTCCTCTATTTAAGTTTGAACCACAATCTCCTGGCTTCATATTAAACATCTTTTGCATTTATATCTTCTTTATTTCAGTTTTCATGTGTCAGCAAAATATTTGTGTCATTATTTGGCCTTTCCACAATGTAGTATGGAGGTACTTAAATGGCCCATTTTGGGGGATCTTCTATTCATGTATTTGGAGGATAGGACATAAATAGATCTGCTGTCTCCATATTATCCCATAGGTCTAGCTATACAATCTATAAAGGCAGTTGAAATAATTGTTGTCATTCTTTTATTCATTCATTTGACAAATATTTATTAAGCACCTACTATGTGCCTGGAACTATGCTATGTGCAGGAGACAAGATAACCCTTGCTCTCATGATGCTTGACAATCTAGCCAGGGTGAAAGACACTAGACAGTTAACTGCACAAATAAATATTTAATTACAATTATGATAAGTGCTATGATGGAAAAGTATAGAGTACCATGACCAAAAAACAGGTGTCCTCATGTAAAGAGTCATGACGATTTTCCTTAAAGAAGTGACACAAAAACTGAGTCCTGGAAAATATGGATATGAGTAAGGTGAAGAGGGACTGAGGGGAAGATGAGAACCCCTAAGCAGTGGGAACATCATGTGCAAAGGTCCTCTTGCAGGAAGGGAATTTAAAAAACTGAAAAATGGGGGCGCCTGGGTGCCTCATTCGGTTGAGCGGCTGCCTTCGGCTCAGGTCATGATCCCAGGGTCCTGGGATCGAGCCCCGTGTCGGGCTCCCTGCTCAGTGGAGAGTCTGCTTCTCCCTCTC